CCATAGGCCACTCTGGGGGACATCAGGAATATTGATGGGGAGAAGGACATGAGAAGATGGAGATTGGTACTGGAGAAGGATAAGGAAGACCAGGAGAGAGTGTGGACCCAAAGGACATATCCTCTTCCAAGGAAGCAAAGGTAGTGTCATTAGGCCATACTCTCCCAAGTAATGTCTCTTTACACCCACATAGCTGTCCCCTTACTACCTACAGCAGAGTACCAACTGAGCAACGTACATTTTTCACTTTTTTGAGAGATTTTTACTATAGGGTGCATGCTCTTTGCCAGCGAGCACGAGAAAGTGAGAAATTTTACATGCATGCATACACACACACACACACACACACACACACCAGGGGGGATGGCCACACCGCAATCCCCTCTCCTCCTTTCTCCTCTTGGGATTTTGGGCCTGCATGCACTCATGCCTGGTGTGTCCAGCACCTTAACCACTATGCCATCTGCTGGCCCCCATTTTTCACTTCTTAAAGTCCCAAGTTCAGGGGCCAGCGGGTGTCATGGTGGTTAAAGGTGCTGAATTCCCATGTGGTCGGGTACCAGACCTGGCAGCTTGCTTTCTTGCTTTCCCTTTCTCTCTCTCTGATCAAATTAAAACATAATAATAATAATAAATATAATTAAATAACTTAAAACCTCCAAGTTCAGAGCATACTTTTCCTACAATCAAGCTAACAATGTAGAAGCTGATTATTATAGAAAGAGTACCTTGTTAAGTATCCTTCAACTCTCCTGAGTAGAAATGATTTAAGAGGGGGGGAAAATGGTTACATGTTAAAACTTACATTTAAATTATCTTGTATTGATTAACTCAGTTTATGCTGATCTCCCAAGCAAATAGGAAGATTTGAAAAATTTCTAAGTGCAGGCCTTCACAGTGACAGAAACACAAACTATTATTCTATTCCTAAGTGGTTATCAACAATGCCACTAAACTTTCCTTTCAGGCTCAATCACGGAGGCTCCCTGCAATTCAGAGATGCCTAAACTGATCAATTAAAGCAGTGGGATCTTGGGACAGGCAGAAGATGTAGAGGGAGGTCTCCCTGACCTTCCCTGGGCCTGAGATGCTGGGTGCAAAGATGGTGCCCCACTCAGTTCTGAAAGTCATTACTTAACTCAGAGAGAGTAGAGACACTACACTGTGTGCCTAACCAGGACTGCGGCCCTGAATGGAGAGAGGCAAACTCTAAATTGCTGTGACTCTGGAGCAGAAACATGGGCAATCCACAGCAGGAGAGGCCATCAGTGCCTACCTACATTGCTCTCCTCCTTGGAGTCTCGAGAGGCAAAATAGGAGCTTTACAAAACTATTTCTTCTCTCTGTTGTGGATTCCAACTGATGTTCTTAATAATTGTTTTTAACTTGTCGACCTTGCTAAGACAAAAAGGAAAACAAGCCCTGGTCTTTCCCAGTTGCAAAAAAAAAAAAAATGACGAAGAAAGGTTAAGAAGAGGCAAGTAGGTAATGTGGAGGTTTAGAGGCTGGATCCCACATGGCCCACTTTGGGATTTGAGTCCTGGAAACAACAGCTTGAAAAATAAGCGGGGAGGGACCAGCAGTTGGCATAATGACTGTGTCACTCACTGGACTCCCATGTAGTCAACCGCGGTTCAACTCCCAGACCTGGTGGCTTGGACTCACGCTGGGCACATGGGCGTGCGTGCTCCAGATCCTGAGAGGAGAATAGAGAAGGGACTGAGGTGTGGCCATCCCCCGCCCCCCCCCGGGGGGGGCTGGTTCTCCCGGTCTCTGTTTCTAGCGAGCGCACGCACCCTGTAGCAAAAACCTCTCCCAAAAATAAATAAATAGGAAAAACAACCGGGGAATGTGAGCGTTCATGCCCCAAATCTCGAGAGAATGGAGAAGGGATTGCGATTTCTCTTTCTCTATAGGCCAGGTAGTATCTGAACTCTGTAGGGTATCAGCTCTTGCAAGGCACTGCTGAACACTTCCATCAAGGGCCTTGGATCTCTCACTTCTCTGATATAGGAATCATAGCCAAGTTCTCTTCATTGCTATTTTCTAAGGTGAAGAACTACAGCCAGCCTACTGAAACCCCTTGCCTGCCTGTTTACTGTCTTCCCAAAAATGAACTAGAGATCTACATCTGCCCTTTCGCCGAGTAATCCTTCAAATACCTGAAAACAGAACACGAAATTTCAACATGCCTAAAGGAAACATTTAAAGGAACTCCCAAGAGTAAAGAGAGTTAATTTTAACATTTAAGACGTAGACCTTCTTGGAATTAAGCCTCACTTTGCAAAACTGTGTAGAAAATGGTTCTATTAAATCCACTTGCTACAACGCAGGGATGACGAGGAACACACGTTTGAGGCGTTAACTTCGTGCTACAAGGACAATTCGGTCAACTCCATGAACAGCAGAAAGAATAAACGTGGCAATGTCCTACACCAGCCTGGGATTGAGCTTTTAACTGGGGAGATAACACTACCTACACGCACTATTTTCGGTCCAAGAAAAAGCCAGCCATGCGCGCGCCGAAAGGCGAGTGCGTAATGTCCCATAGCGACTCCTTGCGGTCTCGGGTCACTGGGTCTCCGACATCCTCCCTCCACCGCCACACAAGAAAGCTTGCAATCCTGGGCGGCGATCGAGAACGAGACTTGCAAGAGCCCGAACGCGGAAGTGCGCCCAGACGGAAGTGGGCAGAGCTGGTGGCCGCCACTAAGGAGCCAAGAACCGCCCTCCCCGCTCAAAGAAAAAAACAAAACCCAGCAGCAGCAGTCTAATCAGCCAGGTAAAAGGGACCAGGCCCTGCAAAGCTCAAGTGCTATCTAGAGTAACCCCAGGAAGCAAAGAGGCTGGAGCCGACACGCAGCGCGGAGCCACAGGGCGGCCGGGTGCCCTCCCCTGATGCTAAAGCCAATGCGCCCCCCCTCCCCCCCCGCGCCCGCCTAAGAACACGGACGACCGGCAGCAGTACAGCTCCCTTTCAGCGCCGCTGTGGGTGGCTCTGAAAAGAGCCTTTGGATGTATGATGAAACCTCAGACCGAGCGCACGCTGCTTCATTAAGCCCGCTCCCCGCGGATGCGGCGGGCCAGCTGGATGTCCTTGGGCATGATGGTGACGCGCTTGGCGTGGATGGCGCACAGGTTCGTGTCCTCGAACAGGCCCACCAGATAAGCCTCGCTCGCCTCCTGCAGCGCCATGACGGCGGAGCTCTGGAAGCGCAGGTCGGTCTTGAAGTACTGC